CCGGAATGCCCTTGTGCTCTGGCAGGCTGCAAGGCCGGGGGGCACACAGCCCTCCCGGAGAACGGCAGTGCCAGGCACCTGGGCAAACCTGGGGCTTCACATCTCTCTGCTGTCACCCCCGGGACTTGGGCTGCCTTTAAAAAGGGTTTTCTGGAAAGATCCACAGTCTGCTGCATGGGACCACGAGCATCGTCCCATATTTAATGAAGGCGGTGCACTGGCTCCTGGGCAGCTGGTTTCATTTACCTCCCCTTTCATTTTAAAGAGAAACCTTTGCCCCTATTATCTGACCTCTTCTTCTGTTGCAGTTAATTACATTAAAGCCCACTTCCCAAAGCTCAGGAATTTCCGGATCTACTTTGTTGCCTGCTGCTATGGGGAGAGTCTGCTAGGAATTAGGGCACCCGCCTGCTGGGGACACCAAGCGGGACAGATCCCCGCTGTCAGCGTGACACCCCGCTGCCACCGCAGCTGTGAAACTGAGACACCTCCGCCGACAGAGGTGGCCCCCATCCCTGAGCATCTCCCTGGGGAGAGGGCAGGGCTCCCGCCTGCAGCACAGGACGCAGGCAGCCCCACTGCTCCCCCAGAGAGGAGAGGTGGGATGCGACCTGCTCCCCCTGGCGAAAGACCTGTGGGCACGGGGAGAGGCACTGCCCACCTCCAGCCAACTAAGAAAGAAGAATGAGCGGGGGCTGCTCTCTGGCCCTAAAGGCACAACTCACACCCATGCCTTCCTCTGCCCCCAGACAAGGTGCCTCAGTCCGTCCCACTGGTGGGAGCCATCTCTGCCCCATGCCATCTCCCCAGCCATGCCCTGGCATCGCCTGGGAGTGTGCTGGTGGCCAGGGCCACGATGCTGCCATGGGCTGTGCCCTCCACCAGACAGTGCAGAGGATGCCAAGCCAGTGGGCAAAGCCGTGTCCTGGCCGGGTTTTTTACAGGTGGAGATGGGCCAGTGATTTCTTCACACAACCCTGTCCTCCAGGCACAACCTCAGAACACACCACACTCTAAGCACTCACAGCAGGCTCATGCAAGCCCAAATGTATTCCCTTGGCATATACATTGGTGTGTGTGTGTGTGTGTGTGTGTGTGCACGCTGGGCAATTCTGCCCTGGCATCTTTGGGAAATCTGCCCCTTGCAGCTACTGCCTCGGGGGCAACTCTGCCTGCACACTCAACACACCTAAGCCAGAAGAGATGCCATCCAAACCAAGCCCAGCAAAAGCATTTTAAGCAGCATCCACCACACGCCTGAGTGCCTGGCATCTCTGATTTGCCACATAGGGTGGATCTCTTTCCATCCTGGAAGGTAATGTGGCATTCTCCAAGGAGCCAAAAGGATAGATGTCCACTGGCTTTGAAGATGCAAACATTTATTTTCCCTGTAATTAATAGGGATGTGTGCTTCAGAGGCAGCGTTGCATAAGGATTTGCCCATTAAATATGCAAAACTTGGAGTTTTGCACAAGTACTTTGGATGGAAACCCAGCCGTACAGAGCAAGAGAGCACGCCTGAGGATGGGACCGGGCATGGCTGCAGGTTTAAGTGGCAATGAATCTTTACCATGTACAAGAATGCCAGCGCCGAGCAAAGAGATGGCTGCAGGGAGGTTTCTGAGCGGTGGAAACCTGCATCTGAAGACTGAGGGGGTCCACAATAAACTGAGCATTTACTCATAACAAACAAACTAAATTATCGGGGAGATGCCAAAACTCTCGGAGCCACTGTCAGTCCCACCTGCCACACCCTCCTTTAGTGGAAATTCCCTGAGTGTTTTGAAGCCATCCACACATCCCTCTCCAGCAACACATTACTTCTGAAGAGGGAGGCACACATGCTGAGCTACATATGTAAGTGAAACCATACTCAGAAAGGCTGGCAAGGCTGCTTATTTCCACCCAGTGTCACTTTTCTGTCAGCTATACTTCAGATATAGTCTGTTTTCACACAGAGAAGAGGGACCCCTGCAATGTATTCCCTCCTCAATTCCCTTTCTGGATCAAGCATAGCCTTTTCAAAGGAATAACAGATTTGACAAATTTATAACCGATATCCCAGGAGAACATTAGGGTTTGGAACAGAAATGTTCATACTTGAAGTTAGACAGCAGTTTAGTTTCCTGCTAGTAATTTTCTTCTTGGATACAAAGGAATTCGTTTTGTTTTGTTTTGCTGTTTGGAGCAGAGGGATGAGACACTGTTTTGACATTTATTCATAAACACTACAGAAGCCCAGCTTGCAATTGTGGCCATTGCCAGTCCTTGCAAATGCATACGGGTGCGATCTCCAGAGCTGCAAACCTGGGCTGAGGTAGAAGCAGCTCCTACGTCGCAGTGGAAATGGGTCAGCAAGCAGCGTCTCAGCCCTGCCAGCCCTCGCCGGGAGCGGCACCAGCCCCCCCGCTTGCAGGCTGCTGCTTCAGCAGCCGCGCAGCACCAGCACTGCCGAGCACTTCGCACTGATCCTATAAGCAGCCGAGGGCAGGTTCCCTGCACACCAGGATGAAACTCCTCATCTGAAGCCTGGAAGTTTGTTCCTTCAACTCCTCCAAGGGCTTGGCCCAGTGCTCAAGCCCTGTTGCAGAAAGCTAATTCCTGGACTAAATAAATGCGATCAGCACATCGTGTAATCATGAAAAGCAAACTCCCAACTGAGACATAGATCATCATTGCACAGCATGAGCCTGTAAGTAACACAAATTCTGCTCCAAATTCTCTGCTACCCCATCGCCCTCATTGCACCAAGCTGCTGCCGCCTGGTGGGGAAGCCCCCGGAGCCCAACACGCAAGCAAGCAACATGGTGGCACAGCGAGGCGAGCTCAGCTCCCTGAGGAATGGGACTTGGTGGATGCTGGTGGATGTACTATAAATCCCTCTGAGATACCAACAGTTGCTTCTGCAGGAGGCTCCAAGGTTAACACCCCAACACAGAGACCCCGGGCACACTTGCCAGAAAACCTCATCTTAAAACCCACCCAAGCTCTTCTTAAGAGCAGGTCTCCAGGTGGGCTTTACAAGAGGTGGGCTTTACAAACCACACTGCTACACTTCAGCAAAGCAACCTGAGAACCCCACGAAGGGTCGCCGTGGAGGACCCATTTGGGGAACAAGCCCTGTGGGCATCACACACAAGGCCACCTTGGACCTGAGCCCCTGGCTGCCATGCTCAAGGCCAGTGCACCATGCGGGAAGTTTAACCCAGCATCAGAGCAAATCCACTTTTTCTGGAAACGGGAGGGGTCTCACCATGGTTTTTGCTCCAGCAAATGCCTGTCTCTGAAATGTGTCCTTTCTGTGGCAGGGGAGAGTCCTGCCTGCCCCACAACCCCTTTTTCCTATCAGTTCTGGCGGTTGCTGCTGTGCTTGCACACTGCCTCACCTTTGCACCGGCATTTGCACTCACACCACGGAGCTCACAGCCCACTGGGGAACCTACCTGTGGCCATAGTGTGCAAATGGGGGCAGCTAGAAATAAGAGGAGGAAAAAGATGTTTATGGATTTTCCCCCAGATAAGAAAACCTTTCCCTCCACTTGGTGCTTGTCACACTCAGTGCTACAGCTCAGAGCTTGCTTTGCCTCTTCTGAACAGCAGCACATGTTCACGTGGAGGAACCAGGGGAAATTGGGTATCGGCATCTCTCTGGCAGCCCCACTTGGGCCTGGATCTTGGATGTTCACCTCCTTTCCATCGACATCTGCTCCTGGGGCCCCATCTGCAGTGCAGGGCAGCGGTGTGTCTGTGGACACCCGAGACCCTTACGAAAGGGAGCGGGGAATGGGGCGTTACGCATTCACCATTGGACTAAGCTGCCTCTCCCTCCTCTGGGCCAAACCAGCTCAGCTTCAGGCCAGCGGTTTCAGGGAGACAGCAACTGGGGTGAAAGGAAAAGGGCTTTCAGACAGTCCCATACTTCTGTCACATGTGGCTTTTGCTGCCCTGTCGTCCCCACCCTGGCCAGCACCAGGGCTGCCCGTCCTCCCAGCTGCCTCGGGGGACGCAGCGGTCCAGCTCGGGCTTCGCTCCCAGCAATCAGGCAGGCCAGGCATGCAGGCGGTGGTATTTTTAGCCTCTGTCTCAGCTGCGGTGGTAAAGGTTAATACATCCCCTCCTGTATTTGTTCGAGAGGCTCCAGCAGGAGGGACGGAGCCTCTTTCACCTATTTAAATGCAGCAGGAGGACAGAGGAGGTGGTTGTCACACGTCTGCCCCCTTTCACACCCAGACATCGCATCAGCCCAGCTCCCAGCCTCGCCTGATCACTGCAATTAGGGTTGGAAAGTAGAAGAAATGGTGAATACCTACTGTTGCCAGGTAACAGCATCCACTGTGCTGCCAGCCACTTTCATGAACCTATAGGAAACAGAGGGAGAAACCGTATAAGCCCAACGTTGTCACAGGGGAAGCCCTAAAACAAGCGATGCCCATCCCATATTGCAGGATAACAAAGGTGGAAGAAAATGGATGAAAAAACCCACAGCACTTCCATGCACAAGGTTACGGTGAGTTGTGTGTATGCATTAATCTCCTGATGGCTTATGACCCAACTACCTTAAAGACAGTACATCTCCTCCAGACAGCTCCTGCTTGAGTCAGGCTTGAGGCCACACAGGTGTACCTGCTTATGCTGCTGATGCCAAAACCAAAGCAATTCCTAATCTTGGGGACTGCATGTGACCACTGCTGCAGCCACCTCTGGCACAGGCTTGCTGCCATCCAAGAATCTCTCCCTGGCTCCCTTGGTCCAGCAATGCAAACTCCACCCTGGGAAACGGAGCTGATGCATTTTCGAATTGATAATCATAGAATCATAGAATCGTCTAGGTTAGAAAAGACCTTTAAGATCATCACATCCAACCCTTAACCTAACCGTGCCAGCCCACCACTAAACCATGGCCCTAAGCACCTCATCTATCCTTCTTTTAAATACCTCCAGGGATGGGGACTCAACCACCTCCCTGGGAAGCCCATTCCAGAGCCTGACAACCCTTTCTGTGAAGAAATTTTTCCTAATGTCTAATCTAAACCTGCCCTGGCGCAACTTCAGACCATTTCCCCTCATCCTATTGCCCGTTACCAGGGAGAAGAGGCCGACCCCCACCTCGCTACCCCCTCCTGTCAGGCAGTTGTAGAGGGCGATAAGGTCTCCCCTCAGCCTCCTCTTCTCCAGGCTGAACAACCCCAGCTCCCTCAGCCGCTCCTGATAAGCCTTGTGCTCCAGACCCCTCACCAGCTTTGTGGCTCTCCTCTGGACATGTTCCAGCAACACAATGTCTTTCTTGTAGTGAGGGGAAATATATAATATTGTATAATGTAATAATGAATGCACATGACAGGAGACACTGGCTTGAGCAAGTGAACATGATGAGAAAGAAACCGGTGCTGTATTGTCTTGGGCTGCTCTTCGATGGATGGGGATCCTGGGGACACAACAGGAATCACGTGGCTGTCCTGACCCCACCGGGACACAGGGATGAGTGGCACTGGGTCCTGTGACCCCAACTCCCCCAAGACAGCCCCGTGACTGAGGGTGGGGAAGTAAAGGGAAGGTTTGTGAGGAGAGATGAGACCTTTTATCAGAGCAGTTGTCATGGCAGGGAAGAACAGCAAGCTTTCTGGCACACAAGCCTCTAATCAGGTCTGAAACAAGAGCAGCAAACTTCAGGCTAAATATAGCTTGGAAACAATCATCCTGACTTTAAATTAATGACGATGGTCAATTATAGACTGGGACAAAAGGGCAGCTGGACCCTGTGAAGCATAAGAAGACACTGGCAAAGGCAGCGGTAATAAATCCCTGCGGACAGAGAGGGAAGAGATACAATTAGAAATGGAAAAACAATATCATGCTGTAAAACCCCGTAGCACTGATGCATCCCCGAATCTGCTGCCTAGCAGCGCTGTGAGCTTCAGTTCCCAGCCTCACCTTCCAGAAATGCTTTTACATTTCTCCCGAGGGTCAGGCCCAGGAGAGTGTTTTGGGAATGGTTCCTCCCCAGCTGAGCAGGGCGAGGAGACCAGCTGGACCAGCCGGAGGGAGAGGTGTGAGCTCCCTGCGACTCACATGGGTCAGCTGGCGAAAAGAGGATTTTGCAAATATTGTTCTACAAAACTAAGTGGGCAGAAATACGCCAAAAGGATCAAAATACCTGACTCCCAGGCTTTAAATACTCAGTACAGGACCCGCTGCCTAAAGCGTAACACGTGAAGCGTACAAGAGTGAACTAATGAACTCTAAACTGAAATTATGAACACAATCTATATTGGGTTTGAAGATCGATAAATTGCAATTGGGTTTGAAGATTAGCCCAGCTTGCTTTCTAATCTCAAATGCTTTATGTTCTGGCTGCAAAATAAACCATCCAGGACTTTACTAAATCACTTCTTCAAGCTCAGCTTGGCACTCTCCACTCGCAGTCCAAAACCATGAGCAGACCGAGCTTGGAGGAAGAAGCTCTGCAGTTTTCCTCACCACTTCCACAGCCCTGCTGCAAAGACACCCGCTGCAGCGGACTTGCGTGAAAAGCAAAGCAAACCCTGGGTATCACCTCCAGCATCCCTGGAGCAGCAGAAGCTGGGCATCCGTCTATCCCATCTCCCACATCTCTAGAAAGCTAACTGACCCAACATTGAAAAGCTCCTGAGAAAACTTTGTTCTAGGACACAGGCATCATGCAGGCAGCGCAGTACAGACCAAAAGCAGGACAGAAAAGGCCCTTGCTTGCTTAGTGTTCCTCTTCTGTCTCCATAAGAGCAAAACAAATTGGCTAGTTTGGTCACTTCCAAATTTTACCATATAACATGTGTATCTAGCTCAAATTTTGCTTTCCGTATCTGTTTTTCTTGGTTTTTTTTTTTTCTTTCTTTTTCCTTTTATTGAGATTTTTGCAGGATGAAGTTCAAAAGTTCCTGGTACAACTTCAAGTCCTGCCTTAATGGTGGAGTTGTGCCTGGAACATTCCAGACAATTTGGACAATGGTCTCTACCCTCCAAAGGGAGCCTAGAGCAGCTCAACAGTCAACAAATGGCACTGCACGAGCAAGAGGTGAAAGCCCAGGGCAGGTGGAGATGCAGCAATGCGCAGGTATCCGAATATCTTCGGTTCAGGAATACAGATGTAACTAATGCCTTTGTTCCTGTAGCACCTGTGCTGCACAAACCACAGATTTTGAGGCCAGTGAAGATCCATACAGTCCAAATGGCCAGCGCGGGCACATTTTTATCTGGGATTTCCTGGACTGTGCGAAGCCCATGTGTGCAGCACGGCGCAGGCAGAGCAAACCAGACGCTTCCGGGAGGGCTCCGATCCCTGCACATGTGCTGCACAGATGGGCTGGGCTGGCACAGTAAATCTGCCATTTTCCTACACATTGGCCTTTCCCTGTGAGCACCAATAGACCGCGCAGCGCATGTGCAGTAAATCCCCTGAGAGCAGTGGGACAAGCCAAGCCCATGCTGTGTAGGCAAAGTGGGCAACTACAGTAGCAATGCCCCATAATTTGGATGGGTGGCAGCCCCAGCGCGTGCCTGTGCCATATCCCTGGATGTACTTCCACATATCAGAAACCTGGGCAAACATAAAAGTCCTCAAAATCTGCGGGGGCAGCTTCTCTAATTGGGAAAACAGAAGATGCCAGGGGCCCATGGAGGAACAGAAGCCTCGGGCAGGGAGTTTGGGATACTGAGGATTAGACAAGGTCACTGAGCTCGGGTACGTCCATCCCCTTACCCTTGCAAGCTGCCAACGTGCCAGCACCCCGTGCCAGCATTACTACCTGTGGGACCTGTGTTGAGCTAGAAATGAGGCTCAAGCTTGCTTTTAAATAGGCACTGAGAAAAGTGTAATTAAATGTTGATCAGCCACCCAAACAGTTCACATCTCTGTCCCAGAAATGGTAAGACTGGCATAACACGGGACAGCACCTCACAGGGCAGGAACGAGCTGTGGGAGAGTGAGGCAGGAGGGCTGCAACACCATGACATGGCACAGACTCCACAGCTCTATCTTGTGAAACCGCGGCTCAAATCTGACCTTTCCCAGAGCATCTCCCATAGCCACATCTCCCAGGACCGCAACTTTCACTTAAGTGTGGGCATGTCTGAAATAGATCTCCTGTCCTGGTTCAATACCTGCCAGTCATGGAGCACCTACTGCAACCTTAAGCAAATTACTCCCATGGTTAATTAGCCTCCAAGTATGTTATTTCTCATCTGAATGTGTCTGGCTTCAGCTGTCAGCCACTGGAACTTCCTAAGCTTATTCCTGATACATTAAAGAGCCATCTGCATTTGGAAATCTCTTTCCCATGCAGGTAATTGCAGATTGTCGTCCTTTAAACAATAAAAAAAAAAGTGATCCTGTAACAAAGAATGCAGCTGCACGAGGAGACAAGTTACCATCGCACAGGCTCCCAGGTGGTTTAACATCATCATCTGACTCCTGGGTGCTGGACTTCACAAACACGGGTTATTTCATCTGCTACTCCCCAGAGTACTACAAAAGCAAACAGACTCCCCCCCAAGCCCCAAATGTAGGACCAACCCTGGCCTGCCTGTGGTGGACCCCTAGAGCTGGGTGGCAGATCTCTGCCCTTTGAGCCAAGGGTGATGGGTAGAAATAGCTTTATCTTATGTCTGAATTGGTTGGCGAGGGGGAATGAGGCACAGGCTTCACTTCCTACCTTCTTCAGATTCCAGTAGCACAATCCAATGCCTGCAGCAGCGGAGACAGGGACCAGACCCAACTTGTGCCACCTGCTGCGAGGACTTTGACCTGCACCGCCCGATTTCAGGCAGGGATTTCACTCTGGGGAGCAGAGCCTGGTGGGGACTACGTACAAATCTGCTGCTATGTTGTATTCTCTCTCTGCTCAGCATCACCGTTCTCCAACCAACCTGATCCACGGTAGGGCTGCACAAGCCTTCTAGCAAAAGCAGGCTTTATGTCCCAGACTGACCCAGCCAGCCTTGGTAATCTGCACTCCAGGGACTCTGGGAGTTGCATTTTGGACCATGATGTTGCATTATTGATTTGATTTGTCCAGTCCCTTTCTGAACACACACCTCTGGCCTCCACAATACCCTGTGGCAATGACTTCTACAAAGCCATCACATACCGTGTGAAAAAGCTTCCTCCTCCTTTCCAAAGCTTCCTTCCAAACTACTTTCTGCACTGTGGAAAAACCACTCTATTCACAGGCTCATGGGCCTCGATTACATCCCCTCCAAGCTGTCTGTCTACTGAGCTGAGGAGGCATAGCCTATTTAATCTCTTCTCACGGGAAGACATCACATACCTCCGCACACCCTTGGCTCCTCTCCCTGTAACCCTCCTGCTTCTATTACATCTTTT